CACTGTTACTTTCTTTTTATTTATTATAGGTTCCAAAAGTGGTGATTATCACCATGATATGAACCAGGGAAACTTTGAGAAATGGTTAACAACAATGTGTCTGCCAAATGTTCCCCCGAATTGTGTGTTTGTGTTGAACTGTTGATCAGCGCGTCATACCATACGATCAAAATTGAGAAGAAGCCCACTAGCGGCACTAAAAAGGTCGAAATGCAACAGTGGCGTAGGTCAAAAAACATGGAGTACGATCTTGTAATGACCAAACCAGAATTATATACTGTTGTAAAAGAAAATAAAAATAGGAATCCAAGTGGATCAGATATTGGAGGAACACTGTGTTGCGGTTACCACCGTATCAGCCGGAAATTAACCCAATCGAAAAGATATGGGCTTTGGTGAAAAATTAAGTGGCACAAAGAAACGCCACATTCAAAATGTCCGAAGTTATGAAACTGGCTAAGAACAAGTAATGTATATGATTTGCAATTATTAATAATATATACTTGTTCTTAATTATAGGTTTAAGGAAATTACGCCAAACGAATAGTGAGCATATAAAAAAAGTGGAAAATAAGTATTTTATAAAAGAAAACATAGTAGACGACACTTTCGATGACAATAATTTAGATTTTATTGTAAATACATCATCTTCTGATGAATCAGAAAGTAATGGCGATGATTTAGGTTGTTCTGCATTTTATGATTCAGATTTTGATTAATTAATGCGATTTTGTTTATTGTATTATGTCTCTGTACAGTGTTATTAATAAAAAACAAGTTTACTTTTTATGAAGAATCAGTAACATTTTCGCAACAACAATTTAAAAATTACAAATGTCACCTTATGGAAAAAAAGAACTGTAGAGTTCCCTCAAACATTTAAGGCGTTTATTGCTTTGACGTTTAAAGTACTTTACAGCCGACCTTTCATAAAACTTAGTAAATGTAAACCATACCACGTGCCAGGGAGGGCCGAGACGCGAAGGACTGGACTAAGAGTAATTTTGTTTTTAACGTTTCTTCCGTACCTTAATTATTTAATCATTATTCTGCACATTTGAAAATATTATTAAGATACGAAAGCAAAAAACATAAAATTTTTAGTAAGTACGATCGCAATCATAGAAAACTGGTCCACTAAGTTTTTTGATAAATCAAATAATTTTGACGATGTCACCGTCCTTTTTTTCAAATCCGGAGGGTACATTCATATTGCTGTTATATTAAAAATAATACATGACTAGAGAGAGAAAAGTATGCAGCAAAACTTTGAGAAATATGATCATGTAATATGCATGAAATGTATGCAAATATGCAGTAACTTTATTAATATATGCAGAGATATGCAGTTGCATATGCTCCAAAAATTGAAAAGAAGTGTAATAACACAACTAAACTTATTTACAAATTATAAAAACAGGTTTATCGAGCTTAATTTTTTTTTAAATGCATAGATAAATAAAACTTTTAAAAATTATTGTCTTACACTAAATAGTGACAAATAAATAAAAAGTAATAATAATAAGCCATTTAATTAGTATTTTTGTAACAATTTATTTTTAAATACTTTTCGAAATATTGTAGCAAAAAAATTTGCCGGTGATCGGAAAACATATATTTGTAAATAGAAATGCGGTTTGTAGCAGAAGCTACAGCTTCTTGAAGAATAAATTTAGGAAAAGACCAGTACAGGGCACGGTTGATACAACCGTTAATTATTAATTTAGAAGAGTCGAGTGATGATGACAGTGACTATTTCGTTCAATAAATAAGCAGTAGTAGTTAATAAGTAAATAGTTGTGTATGTCAAAATTTTAACTAATTTGCTGTAATAAAAAATGATTGAGTACAAAGTTACTTTGTTTTTACCTAAAATAAAAAAATCGAAAGGCGCAGTTGTCGGTAAATGCAAAACTCAGTCCTGCCCTGTGCTTTTACCAGAAAAGGTCTTTTCAGGTAGGTATCGGTGAGCGGGTTTAAGACATCCGGCTGTGGCGGCCTATTGAATTATAATGGGAGTCAAATTCGTGTGAAGCCATAAACGCCTTAAATGTTTGAGGGAACTCTAGCTGTCAACTTTTTTAAATTTCAAAACATCTGATGCTGCGTATAACTTTCTTAACACTATTTTAGGCAGTCTTGTAAGTTTTGAAACTACTGGTGTTTTCAAAATAATTGTGAATGTTCTGTAATTTCATGACAACATTCGCAATTTTCTAACCTAATAGGAACTATTAGATCACTGCTCTTCGCCCACCTTCACGCGTCGCGCATTCATCCCTCCCACTCGATGTACTTCTGGTTTCAAATAAGCTCTACAACATTAATCTGTAAGTTTTTTTTTCTGTCTCTAACATTCATCAGAATGGCGAGAACCGCATGCTTAATGATTTATCTGGTACATTTTTTAATTTCAATAATAATTTTTTACTTCTTAATAATACATCCACAAAATTGTTGCAATATTTGTTTAATATTTTACTTTACGTTTTGTGGTTTTAAGTCTTTTTATTTCGAGTGAGCAACAAATTTTGTAGTCGAGTTATCTTTGGAATTGAGTTCATATGTCATCTGTGAAATATGTCTAATGCTGTGTTTAAAGCTACGTCACAAAAAAGTTTCTAACAAAATTAATTTTAATAGCCGATAATTTTGTATCTACTCCTTATATTTCAAACAGACACCTAGAAAGACAAAAATTTATATTCCAATAAACAGAATTCTATATTTGATTTAAATTTTACAACAGTTCAATAATTAATCTCGCTGTGACGTTAACAACGTCCCTTCAAACCTTACTTTTTATTTTTATGTATTTATTTAGCGCTGTTTCTTTATCGAGTAATATGTGTCCAAAAATTACATGAAGTCCATTTTCCAATTAGGCTTAACTTTCGGAGGCGGTTTTTGGATAGATTTGATGACCGGCTATTGGAGAAGCTTAATTTTATTTGAGTGCCTACATTAATTCTCAAAATTTGAAAGTGGTGTTTCAATTAGTCAACGACGGACAGTAAGGCAACCATTGCAATATTAACAATAATGTGATTAACTGACTTAGTCAAAATAATCCTCTCCTAAAAGAAATATTTTGATAGATTTTGTACCATAACTTCACGACGATGAGGGTTATTTTCAACAAGACGGGGCTACACCACACTTTTTGACGACTGGATCGTTAGTCGAAACACAGAGAGTATGTAGTTCCCGAGATCTACAGCATTATCTAATGTTGATAATAACAAGAGATATTAAAGCCTTAAAGAATAATGAAGAAATGTTAAAGCATGTGATCGATGGAGTTAAACGACACAACACTTACGCTTACAAGAAAATGGGCACATTTTCAGCATTTACTCTAATTTTGTTTTTATTTATTTAATAAAATGAATTAATCTTGTACCAGGTGAGTTTTTTAAATTTCTGATCTAGTCACGCAAAAATTTGTTGACAAAATAAAATCGGCCGAAAAGTAGGTCGTAACTTGCAACAATAAAAACAAAACACAATGTAAGTTGTTAAAACGCGTATTGTCACAACATAACTTGTAAAAGACGGTGACGTAATCGGCAGCGAAAAGGTTGGAAATTGAAATCACCCAATTCTAATTTTCTTTGAAACTTCATATTTACTTTATGAAAAATCTTATTATTTTTTGACATCAATGTAGTTTAATCACCGACATGCTAAATTCTTTTCAAAGATGACTTGATTGCAGTTCTGAGACGCCAAACAAGGAATGTAATTTTTGACTATGGCAGTACTAAATATAACGGGTGACCAAAAAGTTTTCAGATTAAAGTTGGCCAGGGACATAGTTGTCATGTCTTTGAGTAAACTGTAAAAGTCATGCATAACCTTTTTTTAATGACAAGAAAGGTTATGCATGAGTTTTACAGTGTAATCAAAGACATGACAAATATTTTCATGGCCAACTCTAATTTGAAAACTTTTTGATCACCCTTTATTTTGCATTTTAATAGTACAGTGGTGTGGAAATTGTTAATGCGTTACATCAATGAAGTAAATATTAGTAATTGGAAGAAATTTTATCGTGGAAGTTGGGTATGAACTGCTCAGTATATCATCTTACTATATAATGTTTCAAAACAAAGCTTCACTGTTGATTACTGAATACATAAATTATAAAATATTAGTTTAACACACAGTTAAATTTACTTTAAGCCCCGCCTTATGAAAGCACTGTTAAATTAATCAAAATTTAATTGCTCATGATTCAGTTAATCAAATTCTGAAGATTAAGGCTTAATGCGTCATGAAATATTCAGCCTGGCATTAAACTTTACTTTGTTTTTTATAAGCTATCCTTGAACGTATTATTTGGGTTTTCCTTTCTCAAAAAGTAGGTAAACATGAAGTATAAGAATTAAATTTGGGTAACTATTTAGTGACTTAAGTGTATTGTCATTTTTTTTTCTTATTTGGTAGCCCCTGCGATTAAATGACATTAAAAAACCCGAAATTCGTGACATAAAATAAGACGAACTTATCTTGTCTTTCCTGTGAGGAACTGAAAACCCCTCCAGACCAAGTTAAACTTTTTGATGATTTGTGAAGCGCTTATTGCGGAGGAATTCCTAAAATTCCTCGAGCATTTATGGCCGCCGTGGAAAAATCAATAGCGCGTTTTATTACTTTCCAGTCGCGATCCCGTACCCCATTTATCGGGATAAGTTAATTCCATTAGGTAAGATTAATTCCAAAGCCCATTTTTTTCACGTTTTATGTTCGAATACAGCTGCGCAATCCCAAACCGGACAATTATATCACCCTTAAATCGACTCGGAGCCTATTCTGTCCCGCGGTGATAGATAAAAATGTAATTTACTTCTGTTTCCTTCTCTTCCATTTTATGTGCAAACTGTGGGCGTAAGTGTTGCTTTTTCATAAAAATGTTGCCATCAGAGACCGTCGGAAGCACAACTTTTTAAGTTTCCTATTTCGCACAACAGCTTTCTTATGAAAACGAGTCTGCTTACCATAAGTCCGGCCCTGTCTGCCACTGAATCTTTATCAACACCAGTGATGAAAATCCCCAGATTATATTCAACGCCTCCTCGAATCATCAGACCGAGACTCTGACCCGGTTCTATGCAAAGATCCACCTGCAAAATATAGAAAACGCGTTAAAGGATTCCATTTTTTGTAGAGTATGATGTATGCTTAAATGTGTTATCGAGTTTTTCTGTTCACTTAACCGTACCTCGAGCTGTTATTCTGTGGATATTGGTGTGTCAAATTTTCATATTATTTTCCAGTTAATTTCCTCGTGTTTGTGGACAAACACTGTTAAACAAAATCAAAATGCGAACACATTATTGAACATTCGCTCATTATCTACATCATTACGGAGATAACGCGTGAAAAGCGTGTGCGGCGAATTTATTTCACGGTGGAAATTTTATGTCACATATCCAGATTGTTTCTGTAACATCGGTTCATTTAAATTAAATCTAACTAAGGCATCTATGTGTTTATTGTACAAGTTTTATAAAAAAGTAACTTTTTCATGTCAGTCTGCGTATTCAATTTCCGTAGCAACTGAGAGAATTACTTTGACTCGCAGTGAATAGATGCAGTTCCCACACCAAAGTAAAAGAGGTATTTGTACATACAAGCAGTACGCGAAATGATGCTGAGAATATTTTAGATGCATGCAGTCGTCTTGGGAACTCAGCTCAAGTTTCTATTCATAAGTCAGTGTGTTAATAAATTCATTTCTGTTGCCAACTCCGAAACTAATTAAACTTGAATACAAAATAAAGTTTATTGACGTCAGCATTAACTACAGAATTACGTAGATAAACATGAACATTTTTATCGTAATGAGTAGGTTACTTGTGTTAAAGAAACTTTACCGACTTCGTATCCAATTTCACCACTTTTACGACAGAAATCAATGAATTCTAACCAGTTATAATGAAAAAAAGTCATTTATGTGACTAACTAACAAGAATGAAATATTTGTGATAAAATGCTAACTGAGTTAAAAAACAGTCTAAGTTTATTTAGATTAGACAGAACTTCTCTAATTTTGTGATGATGTCCTCAAATTTTTAGTGAGGGCAAGTATAGTAATAAAAGTTTTTGATTTAATCAATACAATAAATTGCTCCACTCACTGACACATCCTGTATAAGCAGTTTTAAAAGACATGGGTATTTTGATAAATTACAGGTACAGACACATTATCTTTTGTACATTTTAAGTGGGATTTATTTAACAAAATTTTGAAATGACGTGATCAAATTTTTGAAAGGGTTAAAAGAGATAACTGTTGATTAACGAGTTAAAGTTTGGCGAAAGATATAGTGCGTTTATAAGTTTGAATTCATAAGAATTTTTCAGCGGATTCCTCATAAAATTCAATAAACACAATAGAAAAAAGTCTTCCCAATCCCAAGTAGACGGTCTATTGCAGCCTATGACGAATTCGTAAAAATTACGTCAAGTTGAGTAGCAGTTAGGCCACGACCGCACTATATCGTCTTTACTGGTATAAAATAATAATATGATGATTCAATTAGAATTGCTTTTTTGAAAGAAATCTAGTTGCTTATGGTGAAAGGTAATAAATATTAACTCAAAACAGATTCATAAACTATAAGTACAAGTGCATGTTATTTATAAAATTTAAATGGTGTTTACTAAAAAAGAAGATTTATTTATGCATATTGACATAAGTTATACACAACATAGAATTACTCCGAAAATTACTACCAAAACTTATTTTAGAAATTTTGTAAGAAAAATATTCTATATTTTGATGGTAGTGTTCAAGAAATTGGGCAGAAATTCAAAACATGACCACCTGTTTACGTTTTAAACATCTATGGAATTTCTTACTAACTTTACCATCAAAATATAAAATATTTTTGTTGCAAAATTTCTAATATAAATTTTGGTAGTAATTTTCGTGGTAATTATTGGAGTATTTTTGTGAGATGTAAAATAGGTCTTATCACAATTACATGTTTCTGTACAGTTTTGAATATTGTTTCATAAATCAAGAAATGTATAAAGTCAATACACTATTAGCACGAATATCAATTCTTTATTTTCAAATATAGCGCTGTTCACGAGAAACACCGCTCCTAAAAATTCAAGACGCAACCAGAAATCTAGTTTCAAAAGGATCTTTGATATTTCATACACCATTTAAAAGAGTCTGCCTAAAATTAGTTGTTCAGTTAGTGCTTACCTCACCCCTGAATTGCAAGTCAGGTCAAAAAAACAAATACGGATCCTTTGAAAAATTACAAAATTTGATTTTGCGAATTTTATTTTTATGATAAACCCTAAAAGTTAAAAAAAGAAAGGTGTGGACTGTTAACTTATAGATAAAGAAGCATGAAAGGCTTAAATTTCAAGTGAGTTTTTCCACAAAATTTCGTGATCAACATTTCAGCAAGGATAGCAATTTGCATATCGGTACAGTGTAATAATTATAGTAACAGTAGTATATATTAAGATTTTCGGGAAAGGGAGACGAACTGTTCTTGATTTGATAAAATAAAATAGATTGCCTGATTCATTAATTTCTTTGAATCACCTTCTATAAATAATTCTAAAAAATATGAATGCATTCACTGAAAAAGCACAAGTGTAAATTGAGATTTTTCACGATTTATTTGGCAATTCCGATTACGATTTACCATGATTGTGGTAACTTGAAAACTTTTGCGAAATGTTGTCATACAATTTTGATTTTTTTTTTTCAAAAATGTGGATATCTAGGGTAAAAACTCAACACGGATTCATAAACCACAAATGCAGGACTTGTCTTATTTTATAATATTTTTTATTGGAAATTTTTGATATGGGGTCATTTTGCATGTATATTATGAATATCGTGTCGGCGGTAAACCGGTAATGCCCATTGGTGGTTGGAATGATCAAACAAAATTTTGGTTAGAATTTTACCATCTACATGATATTCCTACCATACATATAAAATTTAATAAAAGCGAGTCGAATAGTTCCGGAGATTACACAGACGACAGACAGATCTAAACGTCGACCTACATTTTGGTACTCTAGAGGTGATGAAACGTCAAGAAAACATTAAAGGAATTTGTTGGATAGACCCTATTAGTCCTATTACAATATGTACTTCTTTAGCTTACACTCAAGAAGTAAAATAAATGGTCAAGGGTTATTTCGACAAAACTTCCTCGCCTGTAAAGTACAGTTTAACAAATACGGCTTCTTCGAGAAATTATAAAATTTAACATTGGAAACGAATTTTTTTAATGATAAACCCTATAAGTTAAATTAACGATATGTACGGAATGTTAAAATGCAAGTAAATGAGCATGTTATGCGTCTATTTGAAGTGACTCTTTCCGTAACAAGATTTTGTGATGATGTCATCAACATTTTATCAAGGACACGAATATCAATTTGAATAGATGACGGTGAGTCGTTCTTGAGTTCATCAAAAAAAGAATTTTCTAATTTATTAACCGTTTTGTGTCACCCTGTATAAGTAATATTAAAAAATACGAATCCATTGATAAGCCACAAGTAAATAGTTACAATATTTTACATATTTTGGACAGGATTTTTAGCAAAATTTTTAAGATGACGTCGTCAATTTTTTGGGAGGAAATAAACAGATACATTTTGATTACGAATGGGCCATCCGTGTTTGCGTGTTTGCAAGATTTCAGAACACTCACTTCTGCAATTTCGAAGTTAAATTGTAAAATATTATTATTCCATTTTAATTTTTTTTTCAAAAAATAAATTTGCGAAAAAAATTTAACTCACTGAACCACTACCTACATTTTATATCACACTAATATTTGCCTTTTGTAAGTACATACTCTCCAATGCTAGGCAATCACTGTTGTTTAATCTTTAGTCAGTCATTCTTTAGCGATGCTATAGATATGTGTTGAAGGGTGAAAAATCAAATACTTCATCCCGAGATCAGCACTAAAATGTGATTTTTTTATTTAAAAAACATCAATTTCCTATTAAAGAACTCAATAATATACATATTTTTAGAATCTAACGACTGGTTTTATTTTTGAAAGTAAATTATCATGCTGGTTTGTAATTTTTTTTAATTAAAGTTCTTCGTCAGCTGCTTTGGCTCTCTCAAGGCAAATAAGATGAGCTTCTTAAATTTTCAATCGATCTCAATGATTTACAGGCTCAATTTTTATAACAAGTTTCAGAGGCACCAAGAAACTTATACTGAAGTCCCATGATCAGAACTACAGATAGTACTACAGACATTTTGGTTATTGCTGCAAAATATATGGCACCACTAAAGATTAACAATACTCGTTGAGGGTTAAGTTGAATTTTTAAAACTTCCCGAGCGCAAACTAAGGAAGTATAGTAATCGAGTCCATCGGACAAATGATCAATTTATATTATCTCGACGTTTGATGACCCCTACAGCACGAAAAAAGTAGTCTACAGTTTCCGTCTGTCTGTCTGTCTGGTGTCTGTAGCCATTTTTATTAGACACGTAAACTCCGAAACTGGTGAACCGATTGTTGTCAAGTTTTGTATATATGTATTAGAAATATCATGTAGATGGTTAAATACTTACCAAAATTTTGAAAAAGAATTCTAGGCTTATTTGATTTAATATTATAATAGTAGTTTACCATTACCATTAGTGTAAGCACGATCATGGTCTAGTGGTTAAGGCTGAGGAATGCAGACCGGACGTCGCTCGTTCGATTCCAAGCTTGGCTTTCGTTTTTTCCTTTTATTTTTCTCTCTTTTTTTCTCGTATTATGTATTATCTATGTTTATGACATCATCACAAATTTTTTATTAGTCAAATTAATAACGAGTCATTTTCTCGAAATTGTGAAGAATACGCATGTCTTTATACATATAATAATAATAAAATAAGAATTATAATTTTAACAACATTTTATTTGATTGTGGTTTTATTAATACTTAATTTTAGTCCTCTGTTTTGAGAAGACAAACTCATCCAAATTAAATAATTTCGACGTGACATTATTTCGATATATAAAGTAGGTAATAGCAATCTGAAGCTCAAATGTATAAAAAAACACTTGAGCTTCAGATTGCTATTACCTAGTGCTGAAGGACATTTTATCCCGTTAGTTAAGTGCTTTAAATATATTTTACATTGCCGCACGGCGCAGGGACTGCGGGGGTGTTATGCCGTAGGTTTTTACTTTACAGCGGTTATTTCAAAACGAAAATCGTAAAATCAAATTTTGTAATTTTTTTAAAGAACTAGATTTTGACCAATTTTTTAATAACATGGTAGTTGTAACTGAAAAGAAAGGGTAACAATTTGGAAAGAAAATGTTATCGAAAATATATTGTGATCATTTCGTCGTCAACACAATAAGTTAGTTTTGATTACATCGGCTGTAAATAATGTTCAAAACTGTCAGAACTCTTGTAAGAACTTCAAGTTAAATTTAAACACCCATTTTTTTTTTAAACAATCGACAAAGCAACTGCATGTTACATCCAGAAATACAACTTAAATGTACCTATATTTATAGTTTAATAAATAAAACATTAGCAAATAGCACAACACAAGAAGAATAATATTCTTAATATTTGAAATAATAACGTGCGTGTCAAATTTGTTCAAAATGTATCTGTTAATAGTTTGGACCATCATATCGTGTTGTTAACAAAATCAAAAGTAAAAATTTCAATGAAAAGTCAATTACATCTCATAAAAATGGATTACATACGTACATATATTCTAGTACGTTGGGTTTGCGTTCATATTTTTGCAGTTATACCAATAAAAACCGAATAAACCTCAGAGAAAACAATGAAACATTTTCATAAGCGTATCCGACAAGTCAACGGTGCACAATAAAGCTCAGTAGCATATAGAATATCATAATGCTTGCAAAAACACGAGCACAAGACAAGCAGTGAGACAAAGAAAATTCAGTAGATATTATGATTTTAAAACATATTCTGTTACGTACGAATATTTGCAATTCTGTGTTTTAGACAGAAGTTTTTGTTCAATCATTTCTTAAATTTTGGCACGATTGCATGTGTACCTACTTGTTGCAGTATGTTCAACACTTATTGTTCCGTAGACAAAAAGAGGAAACAATAACTCGGTAAAGATAATATATTCACCGCGACCGACCTCATGAAAACTGAAATGTGCCAACTAACTTTATTTACAACAGAAATGCACGAAAAATACTCACTAGCTTCATACATAATACTGAAATAAATACATGTAAACCTGTCATCTCATTTTTAACTTTCGACACGTCTAACTGAAAAACAATTAGTTTATTTGCATTTGTGTTAAAATAAAATTAAATTTAACTGATTTTGTTATCTCAAAACAGAGGAGAGGACTAATTATATATTATTAATTACGCCAAAATGGAACAAAACAACTGAATATCATTTTGGATAAGTAGCTTATGGTGATTATTTATTTTATTATTATTAAATATAGGCGGGCCAACATTACTCTATTTTCAAATCTTCGAATCAGTGGATCGTTCTTGATTTGATAAATAAAAAAACAGGTAATACAAGAAGGATTGAACAATAAAAATTACAATAATAAACAAAATCAAGGCAGATTCATAAACCACAAGTATTCAGGCTACGTTAATCACAGTTCGTTGCATATTTGAATGTTGTTATATGTTTATTTTTTCAATGTCTGACAGTGTCGTAAGTTTATTGGTTCATTCTATTTTATTTTATTTTATTGTTACGTATAAAATACAGAACGACCAAATCTGGCACTTGACACTTCATTTGAATATTTTTAACGGTGTTATTTATTCATGAAAAACTTTGTAAGACCCGTAAACAATAAATCCCTGTCGCCCAAAAAGCAAGCGTTGAAATGATATTTTACGTCGAGCTCACTGCAATAAATTGTGCGATTTTAATATTTTCTATAAATACACTCTATTGAAAATTCCAACCATGTGTGTGAAATTTTCAGAACAATTATTCGTTGTTATTTAATTTTGAGTTACGTATTTAAAAATAAATTTTACACTTCTAGCTAACTAAGATTTTAAACCTAACAATGTTTACAAAATTTTGTGAAATCAAACAAAGTTATAAAGAATTCAGTAAAGACATTTGAATTATTTTCTGTCGGGGCACTTTATGCGATAAAAGTGTGGTGAATACAGTGAATTTTATTTTAACAGATAAAGTCAACAGCCAAATATAAATCGTATAGTTTTGCAGGAGTTTGCAAGCTCACAACAAACACATACTATAAATTTATAAGTAAATTTTAAAAAGAAATAGTAGTATTGAGGTAAACTCAAAAAAATAAATTTCGTCCTATATGCAGACATTTGCCCATATTTACACAAAAAAGCAAATAATATTTACGTAACGGTAAAATTTAAATACATTGATAATAATAAATAAAACTAAACGACACGTAATTTGTATTGGGTTTACTTTGATAAGCTAACAAATGCAATATTTTTATCTATCTAGAAATATGAATGAACGATTAAATAAAAGGATTATAATATGTTTTTAATATATTTGATGAAAAGTAACTGATACGCTGGTACAAAATTCTGATTTTATATTTGCTAGCCATGTTAATTATAAAAAAAAAATGATTCATTATCACGAGCTGCCTCATAAATTTATTAATTAAATCCGCTCAGAAGCTTAATTTGGCGTTCGGTGGAAAGATTATCTAAATATAGCAGATACTAATTAAATAGAATGTAGTTAATGGAAATTAAATTGTAAAAGAGGGCTAACTGGTGATGAGATTAACATCATAAAGTAGCCAGTCCCAAGTGTCTGTCCTGTATGTTTGTTCATGATCATAAATCTCAGCAGTGAGCAAGTATATCACGACCATCCTCTCGTAAAATCGGTGTATTTCTATGTAACGAGATTTCCGTCACTTTGTGTGTAGCACACATCTCCTCATTTTTCTCGAGTTATTTGTCAAAGAGCGTATTTATGGCCTTTATGTCTACATCCCAGCTTTCCACAAACACAGATTTATCGCTCGGCGAATGAAGAGATCGTAAACCTCAATAGTTCTGAACAACTAATTACACTGCAACTTACCCTTCGTATGCTTCTGTCTTTATTTGTCTTCCAACCATAACCGTATCTTGGGCCAGTTCTAGCGTATTCCAATGGTGGTGAGACGGGGCGCCCATGCCTATCCATCCACGAACAGGTTTGTCGCATTTGCCAAGGAGCTCCTCCGAGATTTAATCCAGATGGAAGTGTAGGGGATCGAACTGTCATACTCAGCTTCCGACACGATTTCAACATCTAGATGACAAGATAAATGGTTATTACACAGACGGACAATTTATTATCCGCGTTTGAAAATTAATTTAAAGCAGCAAATTTCATTTATTTAATTATGTCATGAAAAATATAGCTTTTGTTCTAGACACATTACGCATTCACTGTTCGCAGAAATATCTTCCCATGTTACGAATAAACCAAACTGAATACTAAAATAGCATCCGTGGCAATAAATTAGTTATAAAATATTACTAGTATTTTTCGTCAGTAGCCTTTGATCTTTTGTTCCTGCAGGGATCATAAATATAAAGATCAAAAGCGTTCTTAAAAAAAACTGCAGAAGTTCATTCAGTAAGCACGCGGGATAGTTTAATCAATCGTTCAATAAAAAATTTTGTAAAGGTTTTAGGTGACTAATTAGTTAATTAATTATAATACTTGTGCACAGAACAAAAATCATGACATACATAAATCCAAACCAGAATTTTAAACAAAACTAAGTGGATACATTTTTCATAATGTTTGAATAACACTTCATATATATTTACTCTAAAAAATTACAGCTGTCTAAAATTACAACGACATATGTAAATGGTTCCTCAAAACTCTTAGTTACTCAACACGTAATTTCTCACATGTCAGTTAGCCATACGCAATGCATCTAAAGTCCGTTCCGCTTTGACTTGGCAGCGTACATAACCCGGAAGCTACGTATTTTATATGGGAGAATTCGCTACGGTGTTGTCAGTTATCCAAAAACCTACCGATTTTTGAAGAACTTGATACATGAATCTTACACAAATTACCATAAAATTTCACTTTTTGTTTTTACCATTTTATGAACGTTAGTCAAAGACTGCGACAGGGTTTTGCAGTTTACAAGATAATCTTAACATACATTTTAAATTTTACTCTGACCAACTGATAAAAAAGTCTTTTGACGTTCAGAGCATCCGGATCCTCTTGAAGTTTCAGGTCAAACAGTTTTGTATTTTAAATCCGACCCTGTTTACATATTGGAGTTTTTCTTTGTGATGTAAAACAAAACAAGAGGCCTCGACATTTTGAATTATTGGATATATTTGCCATACATGAAGCAATCAATATTTTTTATTTCACTGACATTATTTTTACACAAAAATAAATAAAATGTTTGTCAATCTGTCGGCGTCAGACGGCGTGGCGATAATTAATTGCTTTGAGTTACAAGCCAATGGCCACAATGTGAAGACCTGTCATCGATAGTAAATTATTTATCAATTATCCAGAATTAGATATTGTTAATGTTCAATTCGTAAGATGGAAATATCGCGTGTTCATTCCAAAATGACGAAGGGAAGTGTGTAGTTAACATGCATGCAGGAAGCGACGCTTTAGTGCGATATCATCTGGAATATTGGAGTGAATATAGTGTACCACTTTGTTTCCGGCAACTGCTCCTTCTGATATGTCAATAACCAATACGCCAATTTTCATCTGTATGTACACGAACATAATATAGTCTTCAAGGCATAACTTATCGTAACTCGAACGTAAGCAGGTTTCCGTAGTTTACATATTCATAAGTCAGTTTCATTCTTATTATAAACCTACTATGCGTAGAAATATTCTGTTGTGATGTTTGTTTCATATTCATATTTGTTTTCTGTCCTAAATAATTATATTTACAAAAATGGTCTTAGCTGATTAAACAGAACTTCCTTCGCCCCTGAAGTACCATCAAACAATTCCAGTGCAAACGGTTATTATACAATTTAATTTTTTTTACCAACAGTAAAAAAATCAAAACGGATTCATAAATCACAAGTACAATAGTATGTTATCTAATAAAATTGAAATAGCATTTACGAGTACCACGTAAAATTTTGCGGAAATGTCATCAAATTATTATTGATAAGGATTGCCTTCTACACGATGTTCCCAACATACATATAAAAATCAACATCTGACAGACAAACGATGGAGAACGGGTCATACTCTAGGACTTATGAAACATGCAAAAATCATAAAAATAAATGCATTCCTTCCAGAGTTCGTCCTTGAGAACGGACAATTTGCCCCTGCTGTCAACACCGACTTACTTCTAATCGCATGTCATAAAAACGTCCAGCTTACCACCCCTATAGTAAGAATAATTTATGGATCCAACCCATTGAAAGACACTCATTTCTCTCGGTATCGGATTCTATATAAATTCTTAACTAATAATTTGTATTTTGCCGTTATTTAATTTTTTTCTGCCAGTGATATTATATAAGTAAAGTCGTTCGGTAATTAATAATTTAACTGTTAATAATGGTATTAAAATGTTGTATTTTAATTTACTTTTTACATAAATAGTTATTTATGCAACTACTGAGTAAAGTGTATCTTTTTTTTACGAGAAGGAAAATAGGCGAGTGCACAAATCCGCCGAGTAAAAAAAAGCCACTTTACTCACGAGTCGCATACAAAATTTTTTTCGCGTTCGTAACAAAACTCAAGACCCACCAACTTCAAAAACTTTTTATTTTGGAACATAGATATTAAATGTAACCGTATTTGCTATCTTGACAATTTTTTGTGTTTATGAATTATCATAGCAACGGCAGGCTTCTATGTTTTATTCCGTTAAAAAATGACACGCTACGACATTTTTTTCACTCAAATGCGTGAAAAAATGAACCGCTATGACACTTTTTTTCACGCTTCTATACCGCACTGTATAACACAAATCATACTGTCAAAACAAATTTTTTAAGTGTCTTAAGTTCGATAACTTACCTCACTCTAATAAAAAGCAAGTTAGTTGTAATCTTAAAAAATTGGTCTAAAGAGTTTAGACAGTACTTTCCTCGCTGTCGGAAACGTGACGACTGCATGCCTATTATGGTTTTTTTCGCATTAGATTTCAAACAATTCGGTTTTATAGTTCTTGATTAAATCAATAAAATAAATTTGCGCATTCATTAAATTTTTTGAGTCACCCTGTATATCCAAATCCAAAAAATATGAATGGAATGATAAATTACAAGAAGAGACTCATCATATTTTGTACATTTTAGATAGGATTATGCGGCAAAATTTTGGGGTCACGTCATCCATTTTTTAGGGGAGGATGAACAAATCTATTTTGGTCAAAAATTTGCCATGCTTATCATAAATTTAAAACATTTCCAAGATTTCAAAGCATTTGGTTTTGTAGTTCCTGATTAAATCAATAAAATAAATTCACGCATACATTAATTTTTTTGGGTCACCCTGTATATGCATATCCAAAAAATATGAATGTAATGATAATTACAAGAAGAGACTCATCATATTTTGTACATTTTAGATAGGATTATTCGGCAAACTTTTGAGGTGACGTCAACAATTTTTTGGAAGGGATAAGTAAATGTATGTTGACTAAAAATTTATTATGCTCTTTATAACCTTAAAACATTTGCAAAATCTCAAAGCATTCGGTTCTGTAGTTGCTGATTAAATCAGTAAAATAAATTCACGTACTCATTAATTTTTTTGGGTCACCTGTATATGCATATCCAAAAAATATGAATGGAATGATAATTCACAAGAAGAGACTCATCATATTTTGTACATTTTAGATAGGATTATTCGGCAAACTTTTGAGGTGACGTCATCAATTTTTTGGAAGGGATAAGTAAATATATGTTGACTAAAAATTTATTTATGCTCTTTATAACCTTAAAACATTTGCAAAATCTCAAAGCATTCGGTTCTGTAGTTGCTGATTAAATCAGTAAAATAAATTCAGGTATTCATTAATTTTTTTGGGTTACCTGTATATGCATATCCAAAAAATATGGTATGGAATGATAATTCACAAGAAGAGACTCATCATATTTTGTACATTTTAAATAGGATTTATTCAGCAAAATTTTGGGGTGACGTCATCAATTTTTTGGAGGGGATAACTAAATATATTGTGATTAAAATTATATCATGCTTATCATAACTGTAAACCATCTGCAAGATTTCAAAGCATTCAGTTTTGTAGATTCCAACTTAAATGTCAAAATGATTTTCCTAACTTTGATTGTTTTCCGAAAATCTGGACGTTTCTGGCAAAATCTCAATTCGGAGTCATAAACTACATGTGTAAGACTATGCTATTTGATACAATTTAAAACCCAATTATTATGTACAATTTTGAAGTGACGTCATCCCATTAGTGGTGGGGATGATTAGACAAATTTTGGTTAGCGTTTTACCATCTACATGATATACCTAATATAAATACCAAATTTGACAACAATCAGCCCAGTACTTTCGGAGATTATCTGTCTAATAAAAATCCGAGACGGCAGACAGACGGACAGACGGACAGACAGACGGAAACGGGAGACCTATTTCTTCGTCTTCTAGGGGTCATGAAAGATCGAGAAAATGTAAAAGTAGAGAGTCGGCCGACGAACTCGATTACAATACTTTCTTTGCTTACGCTCGGGAAGTAAAAAGACTTTTGTTTAAAATCCAACGAAATAAAATATACGAAAAATAAAGACAAGACACACAGCACTAGACAAAATTCAACGAGTAAATTGTGTGGTGACTAGACCGAACAAACAGGTAAATTTGTACCAGTACCCACTGTCCGGATCCTTTAGAAGGGATTGCCATAAATCAACCCAGACACAAACGGCGGCTAATTATGATGGTCTGTTGTAAATCAAAATGAGACGAAGAAATTTCAGATGGTTAATCGTTACGTCTTAAATACTCAATTATTTATTAAAATTTTAAGTTCTGATTTTCAGCAAACTAATTTTAAACATAGTATCTCCACGACCGTTTTTGCAAATTACTACTTTTCTATTGATAAAGCCTTAAGCTAAACCTATGATATTTGGTTTAATTATGCCCCTAATTTCGAAATGATACCGAACGAAAATTTAAATTTTTCTAAATCCGTTCTGTTGAGAATATTAAGAACATTACATACATATAAAATTTTAGTCAATATTGTTGATGGTTCGCAAGATATTTGTTCGGGTAGATGTATTGAGTCTCCCATAAGA